CTCTGGCTGTCCCAGAACTACCTCTGTAGATCAGGCTGGCCTCAAACTCAGAGATCTGCCTCCAAGTGCTGGGATTAAAGGCGTGGGATTTGTATTCTATACAGAAACCCCCCTGCTGCAGCAAGCGAAAGCTCCCAGGACTTGCCTCTGTCCCACTTCCAACAGTGAGTGGGTTAGGGAACACGCAGACTCTGAGTATAAATCCCCCCATGCTGCCCCCGCCCCACCCCGTGCTCTTCCTGAGAAAACACTGCGGCTTTTTTTTTCATGGTATATAATTTTTTTTTTTTTTTTTTTGGTTTTTCGAGACAGGGTTTCTCTGTATTGTTTGGAGGCTGTCCTGGAACTTGCTCTGTAGACCAGGCTGGTTTCGAGCTCACAGAGATCCGCCTGCCTCTGCCTCCCGAGTGCTGGGACTAAAGGCGTGCACCACCAACGCCTGGCTATAATTTTTTTACATATACACTGTTCTGCCTACATGCCAGAAGAGGACACCAGAAGAGGGCACCAGAGTGAATATTAGATGGTTGTGAGTCACCATGTGGTTGCTGGGAATTGAACTCAGGACTCCTGGAAGAGCAGTCAGTGCTCTTAACCTCTGAGCCATCTCTCCAGCCCTCATGGTATATAATTTTAATTAATTATATCTAGCCAGGCATTGGTGGCACACGCCTTTAGCCCCAGCACTCAGGAGGCAGAGGCAGGCGGATCTCTGTGAGTTTGAGACCAGCCTGGTCTACAGGAGCTCGTTCTAGGACAGCCTCCAAAGTCACAGAGAAACCCTGTCTCGAAAAACAAAAACAAACAAATAAATTATATCTTAAAACAAGCACTGTACATTTTGCTGCCAAATAACTTCGTTCTGGTAAAACACTTAAAATTCCTGGGAGGCAGAGGCAGGCAGAGGTCTGTGAGTTCAAGGCCAGCATGGTCTACAGCAAGAACTCCACAAAGACAGCCAACCTACACAGACAAACCCTGCCTTGAAAAAGAAACAACAAAAACTATTTAGTCATTTTATTTTATGTATGAGTGCTTTTGCCTGCGTGTATGTATATGTATCATGTGTGTGCCCGGTGCAAGCGGGGGTCGGAAGGCGGCAGCAGACCCCCAGGAACTGCAGACAAATGCTGTGGGCCACCATTCAGCGGCTGGAACAGAACTCAGGTCCTCTGGAAGAGCAACCAGCACTCTCTAACACTGAGCATCCCTCCAGGCCCCTAAAAAGACTTGTTTGGAAACAAGCTGGCTTTCAACTCACATTCCTCCGCCTTCCGAGCACTAGGTTACAGACGGGCCATGCTCTACCAGGCCTTTAAACACTGCAAAATTAGCATCCAGGATGAGAGATGCTACATGAAACACTCTGGATTTAAGCATGAATTATGAACATTAAAGCGGAAAATAACTCATTAACTTTATAGCATCAATGTATAGCAAAATGGGTACTACTGAGTTAAATAAAACCCTAATTTAATCTTTTAAAAAAAGTAACCCTAAACTGGGCAATGGTAGCACATATCTTTGATTCCAGCATTCAGGGGTTACATGCCCCCACCCCTCAAAGGGTTAGGGTTACCTTTTGTTTGTTTTGGTTTTGATCTTGGTTTTTCCAAACAGAGTTTCTCTGTGTAGCCTTGGCCATCCTGGGACTTGCTCTGAAGACCAGGCTGGCTTCAAACTCTTAGAGATCCACCCACCTCTGCATCCTGAGTGCTGGGATTAAAAGGGCTTGCCATCACCACTTGCAACAGAAAGTTTTTTTTTTTTTTTTTTTTTTTTTTTTACGAGACAGGGTTTCTCTGTATTGTTTTGGAGGCTGTCGGTCCAGCCCAGCCTCGAACTCACAGAGATCTGCCTGCCTCTGCCTCCCGAGTGCTGGGATTAAAGGCGTGCACCACCACCGCCCGGCTTGCAACAGAAAGTTTCAGTATACTTATGGAGATGGCATTCTATATTTCTGCTCTAAAGAGTGGCTTCCTGGTCAGTTTTTATTTACTGGTACTAAAGGTTGAATCCAGGACCTCACACCCCTAGGTAGGTATTCTATCACTAAGCTACATCTCCTGGCCCTACAGTTGAATTTTTATTTTCTGTCTCTTCTGAAGGCCTCAGAAACACTCGGGACATTGGCATCAGTGGAAATGGGTGTGCTGGACTCTGGACCTATGGACGCCTGGGTGGGTCAGCCATGCTGTATGTGATTGGGTCCTGGATGGCAGGAGACTCCAGCGGGTGCTGGCCACAGATTGGACACTTGGAACAGCATGAGCTCCATAGGCTCTCACCAAGCCTGCAGCCCTAGGACCCAGCACGGCCCCGGTTTCTCTCAGTTATGGCCAGCAAGGGTTCTCTAGAGCCATGGTTTCAACCTTCCTACTGCTGCGGCCTTTAACATGCTGTGGTGACCCAAATTACGAACTTATTTTCACTGCTACTTAATAACCATGCTTTTGCTACCATTATGAATAATAAATATCTGTGTTTTCCCATGGTCACTAAGGAGTCACTACCCACAGGTGGAGAACCATTGCTCTAGAGGAAGGCATTCAAGAGCTATCAGCACAGAACTCTTGACATCTGCAGAAGAGTTTCTGGGTTTCTTTTTATTTTTTAAAATAATTTATTTCATTTTATGTGTATTGGTGTAAGGGTATCACATCCCCTGGCATTAGAGTTGCAGACAATTGTAAGCTGTCATAAGGGTACTAGGAATTGAACCTGGGTCCTCTGGAAGAACAGTCCATGCTCTTAACCACTGAGCCATCTCTCCAGCCTACAGAAGAGCATCTTTATAAAAAGCATCACACCGGCTGGGCGGTGGTGGTGCATGCCTTTAATCCCAGCACTCTGGAGGCAGAGGCAGGCGGATCTCTGTGAGTTCGAGGCTGGGCTGGACCGACAGCCTCCAAAACAATACAGAGAAACCCTGTCTCTTAAAACCAAAAAATAAAAAAATAAAAAAAATAAAAAGCATCACTCTGCTTTCTGCTGGTGGTGATGCACACCTTAACCCCAGCTTTCAGGAGGCAGAGGCAGGCAGAGCGCTGAGTGTGAGACCAGCTTGTCTACAGAGCTAGTTCTAGAACAGCCAGGCCCACACAGAGAAACCCCATTTCAAAACAAAAACAACAACATAAAAACCCAACAACAAAAAGAACCCAACAAACAACAAAAAAAGAGCCATCATTCCACCTTTTCAAACAAATACCCAAGGCTGCCTGGGGGAGGGGGGGGCTGTCTGCCCTGTGCTGGTTGGCCCAGGTGGCAGGGTCCTACAAAGGCTACACCGTATCCGCCACACCTATCTGGTCCTGATTCATGACAACAGGGTACTCCACGGAGCAGCTGTGTCCCTGCCATTTCTTACACCCTCACATAAGGCTTTGGGAGCCACATCCTGAAACCTAGGAGTTCTTAGGTACCAGGAAGTACCATTGTTTAAAAACAGCCCTGAACTAGAGGGACACTCGTTTGAGGTAACTTCAAGTCCCGGAGGGGTCAGGTAACCTTCCCTTTCTTCCCAGAGGTTGCAGTTCTGGGGGTCAACCCTCAGCCACAATGGACATCGTTTGGTGGCTCCAGGAGTTATCTGGGACCTAAGCCTTCTCTTCCTTCTCTGGCATGAAGGACACCCCAAGATCCAATGTTACAGACCCCTGCGGTCTGCTGGCCTTCAGTGAGAAGTTGCTAAATGCAACTTCTGGGCCCACAACTTTGTAGAATCACATGCTTCAGAAACCCCCACCCGCTCTCCTGGAAAAGGGGCAGTGCCTCAGGCAAGCAGAGACAAGCTATTGCCACCCAGGGGGTAGCTCAGGGTCTGAGGGACTGACAGATATCTAGGTGGGTGCCTCCTGGCACTGTGACCGTGTTCCCGCGTTCAAAAATGGGTGCTGTGAACTCCCAAGGCCTTTGGGGTCTAAATAAACCGTACTCGTCATGGCTTTCCAGGTGGAGGATTCCACAGCAGCCTCTCTGGATCTTAGTGGTATGGTCTGGGCCAGTGTGCATGGACTTGTGTCAGAAGCCACTAGACTCGTTAATGAAGGGCCTGAGGTGTTTGGGAGCTGGAATTCAGTAGCCCAGCTCCTAAAGGAACCAGAACTCAACGGCTCTGGGCTTCCAGTCCTTTGGGTAAGAGACCAACAAGGACTACCTGCCCAACTGTTGTGGTTTGCTTCAGAGCATCTGCACGGTGCCCTTCCTTAGTCAAGGAACACTATTCTTAGTGTCTGCCCCGCCACGCTGAGTTTCTGACATGCAGATATGAAGATACTGGAGACAGTAGCCCTATGCCCAGGAAACAACAAAATATCAGATGTGAGGAAACCTGTCTTAGGTCTTGATTGCTCAGTGGGTGGGGTACAGATCTCACGTACCCACAGCACTGACCACGCCCATTTGGACGTAGTCACAGGTACGTGGGGGAAGGCAGAGATAAAGGTCAAGGAAGGAGGGGTCGTTTTCTCTCTTGGGGTTCCGGTGGAAGTCGGAGACCAGAAGAGCGATGACCTCAGTTCTCAGCTTCTCACGTTAGTGACTTCTCCCTAATAAAATAACATACGACATCCCTATCCTGTGGATGGCCGTCCTCCGTATCAAGTGCGCTTAGAGGACTGGACAGCACTGCCACCTGGTGGCTGGCTAGGGCAGTGTTAGTTTCCCAACGGCAGAGGTCAGCACTGGGTAGACAAAGCAGGCTCCTTCCTGTCCAGGAACTGACCATGAAGTTGACTAACCCCACGACTTCACTAGCTAAGTCTGCAGGATGCGGGTGGCTTAGGCACAGTAAGAATAGCGAGACCTCCTAGGACACAGGGCTCGCACAGGAGATGGCTTTGCAGGAGGGGCTCCGAGGCACGCCCTCAGCCGGCCTGTGGGCAGCCAGGGCCTTTGGTGATTCCTACCAAAGAGTATGACACCCTCCCTTACCAAGTCCTGTCCTTCTGTCTTGTTGGGTGTGTGTGGGCAGCTATTGATCAAGTTCAGCCATTTGCCAAGGTATATACACATTTTATTTAAAAAAGTTTACAGTTTTCATTATACACAACTATTAAGAGGTTATAGTCAGAGGAGGCATTTGTCCAGGTGACAGACATGCCCACTAGATCATCACAATGCAAGGACGGTGGAAAGAGATAGGGCAAGGAGGGGAGAGCGGTAAAAAGCTTAGATTTCAATTAAGGGCTGCTAAGTCCCTTTCATCTCTTCAAGTATCACACAACGTGTACCAAATACAATCAGTAATTAAAGGCCATTTCTTCCCACGCCCACAGCCAAGTAACTGCTACACCAAGAGCCGTGGCCATTCCTCAGGTGAGTGGAAAGCTGCACACCACGACCCCAACGGGCCTTCACTTCATTCCTAAAGAGCCGGCCAAGGTGTCCTGTGGCCAAAGGAAGATGAACACGGATTCAGAAGCTCAAAGAAACGCAGTTCTTTGTGCTCAATCAGAAATGAGTTGGTTTTTCGCTAAGCAAGGTTATGACCCAATTAGAAATGAACAAAAGAAAAACTCTTTGCTAACTTTTGTAAATGGCTTCACTTTTCTGAGTCACTAAAACAAAGGGGCCACGTGCCATTTAAAACCCAACGCCAGCTCTCAGAAACCTGACCCAGAGAGACTAGACTGGCAAGAGGATTGCTCATGATTCTTAGCCACCCCAAAAGGCAGCCTAGAAAATGCAAGTATCAGGTCGAGGCCAACTAGAACTTCAGGGAGCCCTTTCCAGGGCAGTTCCTGAGAAGAGACACTCCTCATGAGCCTAGATCAGCGTTGGCAATTAGAACAGCGCTCGAAGTGAACAAAAATATTAGTGCTGGAGAGATGTGGCAACTTCTGGGGACTCTCTCGTTAACAGGAAACGCTGGTTGAAGCTGCACAGTAGAGGAGGGTGGAGACTGCTGACCAGTGTCAAATGCCAGGGTGTATGTTGGCCACCACGGAGCACAGCCCACTGGCCCCAGTGCCGGGCTTCCAGGGGCACACAAACATGGCAGGCCTGGGCTGCAGGCGGCAGCCACATTGCTTGTCGGTGTTTGGCAAGAGCTCCAGTCATCTGAACAGGGGCAGAGAATGGTTCCCACTGGTAAACCACAAGGTAGGACCTCAAAACTGGTAGGAACAAAGGGTGGGTAAATGCCAGCAACAGCTGACTTACAGCCACTCCTCCTAAAGCAAGGGCTCGGTGTCCCCACAGGTAACTAGAGAGGGTTTCGGTGTCCAAACAGCCATGCTGCAGAGCTCATCTGTTTACTGTGGTGGCTGAGTCCCCAAGAGTCACAGCCAGGCTTTATTTCTGGGCCCTTTGCACCTATGGTTCAGGTATGGTCATCCAGCTCCAACCTCACCAAGGAGCAAGGGTGGGCCAAAAGGCGAGCAAAGCCAGTTTCCTAACAGGGCCTAGGCCCAGAGAGCAGCAATGTGAACGGAATCAGAACTGGTGCCAGGAAGTTGAGGGTAGTGATTTGGGGGGCAGTCATGAACTGCCAGTGCTGCAAAACCTTCACCAGGCTCAGGCCTGGACAGACTGCCCCACGGCTTCTGCACGGGAGGGAGCGGTATGTCTTCATTGGAGCCATGTGGTTCTGGAAGGGTCAGCAGTAGCTGCTCACACTCATTCCTAAACTTGACTCTTATGCTTTGTTGGACTTTTTGTTTTGTATCTTTTTCAACAAGATCAAAAGCAATCATCAGTACCTTGTTTTTTTTTTTTTTGGAAAGGTAATTAGAATACTATTTTTATACAGTATCGAAAAAATACAATTTTTTATTGTTTGAACTCAAAATCACCACCCAGCACTTCAAGCCTACCTAAGTAGCACCTACAGTAAAGGTTATAGCACGAGCAAACCACTAGTCCTCAAGGGCAAGGCGGGAAGGCTAGCACAGCCCTCCTTCCCAAACAGAAGACAGCACGCCAGGTAAGCACAGCATTACACAACATAGCGTCACACGACACAGCTGAAGCCACCTTCCAACAGGCGGGTGCCCGAGAGGACAGTACAATGACCCGACCACAGCCCCAGACTGCATTTTCCCCAAAGAAAACCTTTTGCTTCATGCCCATAATCAACATAAAATAAGTAATTATGTGTCTTTTTATTTAGGAAAATAATCATGCTGAAAGTTGTACTTTATATAGATTTTCAAAGGAAAGACTGATTGTGCTTTCTGAATTGAGAGAGAGGGGGAGAGAGAGAGGGGGAGAGAGAGAGAGGGAGAGAGAGAGAGGGAGAGAGGGAGGGAGAGAGAGAGAGAGAGAGAGAGAGAGAGAGAGAGAGAGAGAGAGAGAGAGAGAGAGAGAGAGAGAGAGAGAGAGAGAGAGAGAGAGAGAGAAGGGTCTCCCAATCTAACCAACTTAAACCCCGTGGAATATAGCACTTCTACACTAAACACATCGAAAGGAAAGTTCGTCCAAGGGGACATTCAAATGTCTTCGGAAGGTCTTACGATTGGCTACTTTGACTGTTCAGGTTTCGGCAAAAGAATACAGAGCTGCTGTCTAAACTGTCTCCAAATCCCTCAGTCAGATGGAAACTGCTGGGCACTCTGGGTGGCAGTTAGCGGAGCAGGCGCTGGCTGGGCAGCAGCGGCCACGTCCAGCTGTGTGACTTGGCTGCTACCGCACAGGGGAGGAAGCACCCTCCTCCCCCTCAACCCGCTTAGTCATGGTTCACGCCACTTCTCCCTCAGTCACAGAAGAACGTGGATCTTACCCACCTGAGTCCACTTTGGGTACAACAACTTCCATTTGATTCAACATTACCCATTTTAAATTTAGGATGTTTTGGGTCTCAGGTACCCACACTTCCCTCTCCCATAAGAGGTTGGCAATTGGGCTGCTGCCAGGAGCAGCTGCCAGAGAGAAAGCTAAGACTGGAGTTCAAAGGATCGTGCAGGGCTCAGGCCTCAAGGCCGGTCTTCCTCCTGATGGTCCACTGAGTGCCTTGTCCAGGGAGGAGACTGTCTCTTGGTAGGTAAAATTAAATCTGTAACCTAAGTTCAATTCACGCAAATTAAAAAAAAAAGGAACAAAAGAAAGGAAAACACCAAACAAAAAGTGCTTTCAGTTTTTGCAGCTCAGTCCAGGGCAGTGGTCTCCAACGGGCCCAGCGCTAGGATCAGACAGATGTAACTGCGTCTTCTACGTTTCTCCTCCAGTCCTGTTCTCTCAAAAACGTTCTGGATGACAAGCTGTAGCCCAAGAAAAGAACTGGGTTCAGAAAATACTCCAAAAAGGTTCTCAAAGCAAAACCAATGTGGCTGCAGGTCTGGCAGCACAGAGGGCAGGATTCTACCTAGAAAAATGCACTTAAATCTGAGTCCAAAAAAAAAAAAAAAAAAAAAAAAGTTCTAAGTCTCACTTCTCATTCAACTCCATCTCACACTGCTCCTCAGAACGGGCACGTAGGACTCGGGAGCAGCGGGCGTGTGCACACGGCTAGCTTCATACACTCCTAAAGCTCGCCTCTTCCTCACAACCTTTCCCTCCACTCTGGAAAAGCACTGCTCTATCTTCATCCAAGAGCTGGCAGATTTGGTTTTCTTTCTTTGGAACCATCAATAAAAAGAAGCAACCTTTTCTGTTGTTTTACTCATGTTTACCTATCAGAGCGGCAATTTCTTGACAGTTCAGTAGCACACAGGCTGACTTGACCAAATGGACTTATGAATGCATGCATTCAGACCGCATATTGCTACCAAAATGGAATGTGGGAATATGCTATGCACCTCAGGTTGAGAAATGACCAAGAAATCAAGATCTAAAGGGTGATATATAATATATATATATCAATGCTATTATTCATAAAAACCTTGTTTAGTAATAAAAAAAATTGCTTTGTTTAAATATGAATATTATAGTCTGCTTCTCATGGTTAGGAAATAATAGTCTTTCTGAAAAGCAGGTGCTTTTCTACTACAACTCCATGTCCTGGGCCTCATCTTCCGAAAAGTCAGACATAGAACTCTCCGATGAGCTGTCGCCAGTGCCCTCTTCCTGCTCCTTCAGGGCCTCCTCCGTGGCGTATTTCTGGATGTACTCTGCACAGGGGAGGACAAGTGAAGAAAACAGGGAGTGAGTCCACTGAGTTCAGGTACAAACTTCCCTGCTGTACTAGGGTGACAGCTGTGTGGTCAGCAGGGCAGCTGGACAGTTGTGGCATACACTTTCAAGACAGAGGCAGACAGATCTCTTATGAATTCCAAGACAGCCTGGTTTACAGAATGAGTTCCAGGACAGGCTCCAAGGGTACAGAGAAAACCTGTCCCAAAAAGCCAACTAACAGCGCACAGGTGCAGGTGTTCAAAGACGCCAGAGGTGTGGGCTGCGGTGTGAGTTACAGGTGGTTGTGAGCCACTCTATGTAGGGGCTGGGAACTGAACTTGGGTCCTTTGAAAAGCACCAAGCGCTGCTAACCACTGAGCCATTTCTCCAGCCCAGGAATTTCATTCATTTATTCATTTGTTTGTTTTTGGAGACAGGGTTTCTCTGTGGTTTTGGAAGCTGTCCTGGAACTCCCTCTGTAGACCAGGCTGGTCTTGAACTCACAGAGATCCGCCTGCCTCTGCCTCCCGAGTGCTGGGACTAAAGGCCTGCGCCACCACTGCCCGGTGGGATTTTGTCTGACTCATGGCTGGCTATTCTACTTCCCCTTCACAGAAGTTTCTACATCTGTCACACCATATTTAAGGTATTTGAAGAAACAAATGCCAAGGAAGCATTTACTAGGACAAGGCTTTGCAGAAGGACAAGAAATTAAGAACAATGTCACTGATGGAGGATAAAGCAGACATGGAAGGCAGGGACTGCCACGTGACAGAAATTGGATGAGGGCTAAGGGAGGCAGTTATAGCCACTTCAGCCCCCACGATCTGTCAGCCCTGCACAGAAAAGTCCATTTAGAGTCTTGGTGTCACCAAAATTGTGTGGTGGCTATGAAAAACTGAACATTAATCGTTCTTTTTTAGTTTTTTGAGACAAGGTTTTTCTCTGTAGTTCTGACTGTCTTGGAACTCACTCTACAGAGTTCGGTCTTGAACTTGGGGATCCACCTGCCCCTGCCATTCAAATGATGGGATCAAAGGAGTGTGCCACCACCCAGGGTCTCATGAGTCTAGGCTGGCTTCAAAATCTCTACAGATGTACGGACAACCCATGGCCTCCTGACTCAAACTCCTCAGGCAGGTGCCGCCATACCCAGCTCATGAGTGCTGGGTTTGTGTATGCCAGGAAGCACTCCACTCTATCAGCTATACCCCGGCTGGCCTTAAACTCTGAAGACAACGAGGCAGGGAGGTACACGTAAGTAAGAGAATCTTGTGTTTTTCTGTAGCAGTGATTCTCAACCTATGGGTCAGAGTCACTGCTCCCACGGGTGTTGCATGTGAGACACTCTGCACAGCAGATATTTACATTACAATTTGTAACAGTAACAAAATTAGTTATGAAGTAGCAATGGAAATAACTTCATAGCTGGGGTCACCACAGCATGAGGAGCTGTACTGAAGGGTGGGAGTGTTAGGAAGACTGAGGACCACGGTTCTATAGGGTAGCTTCTCGTGACTAACAGAGGCAGGGAATACACCCCAGCACCTCAACTCATTCAACTAACAGGACCATCCGAGGAGGAAGGGAGAGAGGCAGGCTGCCCAGCACCGAAGAAGACCCTGGCAGGTCGGTGCTGCTCAGCAAAGACTGCGTGTGCACGATCACATTTGCACGGAGGCCAGAGGCTGACACTGGTCTCTTGTCATTACTGTTCTCCACCTGTTTGGGGCAGAGCCTCTCCTGACCCTGACAGGGCCAGACAGCGAGTTCCAAGGAGCCTCCCTGTTGCTCTACTCCAGGTGTCAAGACAAGTACTTTAATGACGGAGCTATCTCCATTGCACTAGCAAAGGTGTCTTTTGCTTATTTTTCTGAGACAGGGTCTCTATGCAGCCCTGGCTGTCCTCTAACTCAAGAGACCTGCCTGCCTGAGCCTCCTGAGTGCAGGGATTAAGGTGTGAGCTCAAGTCTAACAGCCACAACAATCTCAGCTACCATACCTGGCTTGCTACAAAGGTTTTGAGCAGGGAAGTGACCCATCTTTAGGCAATCCCAAGGGTCCATTTCCACAGGCTGCGCACCTGAAATTTTTTTTTTAAGATTTATTTTCAATTATGTGGATATGGGTTATGTCTGTGTGTCTGCCATATGTGTTGGATATCTGAAGAGGCTAGAGACGTTGAATCCTTTGGAGCTGAAGTTCCAGGCAGCTGTGATCTGTTGGACATGGGTGCTGGGAATTAAACTCAGGCCTGTGTGGTGGGTTGAGCTAGAATGTCCCCCTTAGGCTTTTATTTGAATTCTTGGTCCCCAGTTAATGAAACTGGGGAGGATTAGGTGGTGTGGCCTTGAGGTTTCAAAAGCCCACGCCAGGCTGTTTTACCATCTCTCTGCCTCCAGATTATCGTTCGAATGTGAGCTCTTGGCCACCGCCCCAGTAGCATGCCTGCCTGCTGTCTGCTATACCCCCACCGTGATGATGGGTTAGTCTTCTCAAACTGTAAGCCCAGTTACATGCTTCCTTTCTAGACTGCTTTGGTTACCGTGTCTCTTCATGGCACCATTAACAGTGATGACCATGACACTCTGGAGGAAAGAGTAATCATACTCTCAGCTGTTGAGCCATCATCTCCCCAGGCCCCTACCCCTGCATTCTTAAACAGCAGAAGCTAGGTCTAAATGCTAACACCTAGGGAGAAAAGTTATGGACTTTTCTGTAGTGCAAGTACACCAAGCTGTAACTGCCACAGTAGTGTCCAAGGACAAGCTAGCAGAAGGGCAAGGCCTAAACACGTCCACTTGAGTCCATCTACCTGAGGGTTACCCGAAGCCAAGAATAACAACTCAGGGGAGACAGGGAGCCCGGGAGTCCAATAAATTGGTCATAGAGAATGGTCACATTTAGGGATAACATATGAGATGTGCTTCAGAAAGGAAGAAAGCACCAACAGTGCTGCGAGGCCCAGGACTACGGGAACTGGGAAGGGTCCATAGCCTTGGAAGCCAGGTCAGTAGAAGGGAAAGCAATGACAGAAGCCGAGTGTGACACACGCAGCCTGATCCCTAGGAGGGCTCACGGGAGCAGATAAGGCTTTGGAACTATGTGATTCTAGCAGCGATGGGATTAAGGATAAAAGAAGAAGGGATGAGTTTGAGAAATAAGGCAAGGCACCTACATTTCCTGAAAAATAGTGAGCCAGTATACACAAGTACAATAGCAAACAGGCTGAGCTCAAGTCTAACAGCCACAACAATCTCAGACCACCAAGAATGGCAAACTGACCCTCAACATGGACACCACACAGAGTTAGGCTCGGTCCCTGAGATGAGCACAGGTCTGGGTCCTGCTCTAACTAGGACCAGAGCAGACCTGTACTACAGTGAGGTTAATACTATATTGTTGAGGCATAATGAGTATAAGAATGACAGAATATTTTCATACATGGCCCCCTGGTATTCTTGTAACTTAAGTCTTGCACAGCTAAAGGGGAAGGCCTATGGATTCAAGCTCCCTAACATTCTTTTACTGCCATTGTTGGCAAATGGATTTGATGGGCACTTAACTCCAGCGCCTGCCATTGGTGCAGAAGGAGCAGACGCGCCGTCACACTCCAAGTTCTTTTCCATTAGGTGTTGCTGCTTTATGCACCTAACCCTTTTTTACTAGGCAAGTTCTCAGATACAGACCACGGCAAAGAGGCAAGCCAGGGCTATGGGTATAGTGCAACCATAGAACACACCGAACAGGAGAAGAGACAAGCTGATCAAACCCGGGAAATAGTTTTAGATGTTCTTCCACAACCTGACTTCTCTTAATCTAACTGCATCCCCAGTATGCAAGTGGTCCTAAGCATGGGAAAGCAGCATTCTAAACCGAGTGACTTAAGGGAGTTTTAATTGGCCAACTAAAAGTGCATGCCACCTTACCTTTAATTTTCTGCTTGTACTCCTCTGGTCGGTGGAGGTACATGGCTGCGGCGTCGCCATTGAGAGGATCTATGGGGTTAGGATAGGCCAACAACTGGGGAAGGAAGGACTCAAATATATTGGTAAGATCTGAAAAAAAACAAAAACAACACATACTTCATTCTTGAACAAGTAATTACAGCAGTCAAGGATGATGACTTTAATTATTTTCATTTATGTCTATGTATTTTAGGCTGCTGGGTACCTGCTAGGTTTTCTATAAGAGCAGTAAGCATTTTTTAAAAATGTATGCTTTATGTCTTTCACATCAGGCTTCCCAATCCCACCCACCTCCTGTCCCCTTGAATAGGCCCCTGAACCCCTGCCTCAAAGTAAAACAAAATAGATTTAAGATTAGAAAAAAAGGAAAAAGAAGGCAAAGTCTCATCTTGGAAGCTGCAGTGTGACAAGTGAGTCACAGTGACCCTGACCACACGTCTTTACACGGGGGTGTTCACCGTAAGAGTCACTGGTCTGCTTGGACGCTTCTGGTTTCTGCTACACTATTGACAACAGGCCCTCACTGGGACTCTTCCTGGACATCCTGTTGCTGCCCTGGGTAGCCCTGGGCAGGACCCCCATTCCCGTGTCCCAGCAGATCACAGATGGGGTGGGTATTGGGCTGAGCCAGCACTTAACCCTGGTTTTGGGCCTGGACAGTTTGAGGGTTGGTCAGCCTGCCAACTCTCCCCAGCCCTCACCACCAGGTGAGCCCTCCTGCAATGCCCTGGCCAGTTCTTAGGTTCCTCACGCCTCCACCTTCAAGGCCAGCTCTACTGTGCTGCCCAGGCGAGCGGTAGGGCCACTCTCCTGAGCAGCTCTCTCTCCACTGCTCAGCACCCTCCTTCGTACATCCTGCTCACCTGCTTGAATTCTTGACTACTACAGGGATGGCTTCCACAAAGGTGTGATCCACAGTAACAACCATTTTTAACATCAATTACATTTTAAAAATTTAAACTTAAGGAACCAGGATATACTGAATATTATTATTATTCTCTTTGAACGGCAATTTCCCCCAACCTTTCCCTAACTCCATTTTCCTATTTTTGAACCGATGGGAGTTGTAATCTAAGGCCATGTGTTAGACTGGTATGACCACAGCCCTGTTTTCTCAATTCTAATTTACTCTATTTCCCAAACTGAGACTCTAGGAACACATGATTTATTGAAAATTATATCCTAATAATCTACTCCAACCCAAGTTACTGTAATTTTTGTTCTTTTTTTTTATAGGAATTGACATTTACTATTCTGTTCCCCAAGTTCCCTGACAAGACTGCATTAAGTAGCTCAGCTGGCCTTGAATTAATGATCCCTCCGAATGCTGGGACTGTAAGAATGGGCTGGTATTAACTTCTACTAGGTATAGATATAATCAAGGTCTCTAACTATTCAAAATAAGGGGAGAAATCGGGGCTGGAGAGATGGCTCAGCGGTTAAGAGCACTGACTGTTCTTCCAGAGGTCCTGAGTTCAATTCCTGGCAACCACATGGTGGCTCACAACCACCTTGAATGAGATCTGGTGGGGGAGGGGGGATCTAGCTTGGCATGGTAGCACATGACTTTAATCCCAGCACTCGGGAGGCAGGAGGCAGAAGGCAGAGGCAGGCGGATCTCTGTGAGTCTGAGGCTGGCCTGGTCTACAGAGTGAGTTCCAGGACAGCCAGGGCTACACAGAGAAACACCAAGGGTGAGGGAAGCAGAAATTTATAGAAACCAGTTATAACCACAAAGCAGATAAGCAGCCTACTGCTGACATAACCCTTGTCTAACTGGCATGCCCACATGGTGTATGTAGACAGCAAACACACCCCAGCCTTGAAGAGCTGGGTAAACTCAGTCCACACTTCCCTCACTTCAGATGTCATTCCCATCTTCAGTCATGTCAGACTCAAGGGCCTCCATTCCTCATACTCCAGCTACCCTGCACATAAACACTCCTGTCTCTAGAATACTCAAGTCACAAAACTCCTGCTCTTTATTCACTTGTTCTTACTGGATTTGGTCTATTTTTACAATGACTGCCTACGCACTGTTACTAGTGGGTACTGTGCCAAGCCTCACTACCTGAGATCTGTGGTTCCCCATGGAATCTAGGAGTACATGAAAATATTTCTGGTCACTACAACAGGGTGGGATGCTACTGGCATCTACTGGGTAAAGATCATGGATGCTATTAAAGTTATTATACATAGGACACACAACAAAGAATGATCTGTACGAAAATGACATTTATGGCAAGGGTGAAAAATCCGTTAGATATAAAAAATGGATTTTCAAAACTTCTATGAAAGGTTGGAAGAATTACTTTAGATCTTGTGGTCAACAAGTGTCTGTTCAGTACAGCTCTGCAGCTGTGGCAACGCAGTCAAAGGTAAGGACACACGGGAGTGACTGCTGCTCACTTGGCATGCTCAAGGCCCGAGGCTCATTCCCCAATACCAACCAAAAAAAGAGGAAGAAACCCTTCAGACTGCAGGTTCTTCCTCTCACTTCCTGGAATACTGTAGCCTCGCGCTTCTCAACAGAGCATTCTGCAGAGATAAAAACGTCCTGTCTCTGTATTGTCTAAAACATCTGCCACAGATCACATGTGTCTGCTAAAGATACGCTGAGCGTAAACTAGGAACTACGCTTTTCGTTTTACTCAGGCCTACTTTTAAGCACTCACACGTCTCTGGGTAGCTTGTTCATTCTGTTCTTACAGAGCGGTTCCATCCAGCATGTGAAGGCAGGCCTCAGAGGTTCCCACCTGGGCTTTAAAGGCTGTCTTCACCATAGCCCCATGGAACCAAATTCAAGAAGGCAAAACAAAACAACGTTCCTCTAAGACTTTCACTAACATTTGTAGTTTTTAAAATTTAGGCTGGCGGGGCTAGAGAGACGGCTCAGAGGTTAAGAGCCTCTTCCAGAGGTCCTGAGTTCAATTCCCAGCAACCACATGGTGGCTCACAACCATCTGTAACGAGATCTGGTGCCCTCTTCTGGCATGGAGGCAAAACATTGTATATACAATAAACAAATCTTAAAAAAAAAAAATCTAGCCGGGCGTTGGTGGCGCACGCCTTTAATCCCAGCACTTGGGAGGCAGAGGCAGGAGGATCTCTGTGAGTTCAAGGCCAGCCTGGTCTATAAAGTGAATTCCAGGACAGCCTCCAAAGCCACAGAGAAACCCTGTCTCGAAAAACCAAAAAAAAAAAAAAACAAAAAAAAAAATCTAGCCTGGATGTGCTGACACAGGCCTTTAATCCCAGCACTTGGGAAATAAAGGCAGGGGATCTCTGGGAGTTGAAGGCCAGCCTCGCCTACAGAGCAAGTTCTAGGACAGCCAGAGCTGTTACAGAGAAACCCTGTCTTGACAGATAATTAAATAGATAAATAAATAATAAGAGTTGTACAAACCAGAATGCCAGAGCAGGAGAGTTAGCAATAGTCATAGTCAGAGGAACACACTGCACTAACCACAAGCCAAGACCTTGCTGTGTAATTCAAGCTGGCCTCACATTCTTGATCCTCTACTCTCTTAGCCTAGATATGCAGGGGAGGGCCTAGGCCCTGCCCCAAATGACTCGACAGACTGACAATCCCTCATGGAAGACCTCACCCTCCCTGGAGAGAGGATGGGGGATCGGTAAAGGGGTTGGTGGGGGGCATGGGAGGATGGAGGGAGAGGGATCAGGGATATATAAAATAAGATTATTTCTAATTTAAATAAAATTTATACAAAACAATGTCTTGATCCTCCTTCCTCAGCATCCCCCTGTTGCTAACCTACCACACTTGGTTTGGTCAGATAAACTTTGAGTTTAGGTGAGTATTTGATTACAACCAATGAGATGGTCACTTCCACCAATCCATTACACACAGACGCTGACATGCACAGGTTAAGTAATGTGCCCCAAAGGCTGCACCCCTACCTTGCTGCTTCTGTCAATGGGTGAGACCCACTGCCTCAGTTTCATGAGGAGGCAGCCATGACAAGGTCAATAGAGGCCTGAGTTTCAGATTGCCCTAAGGCAATACCTGCTTCCAGGTAGGACCACAAACTAAGACCACCCACCCCTTTCACCAAGAACCCCTAGACAAATGTTAGCCAACCAGGGGTCTGGAACCTTAGAAATCCCTCACTCCACTATTCTCTGTCATTTCTCTGAGACAGGTCACTGTTTCTCTCTTTCCTCCCTTCCCCCCAATAAATTTTTACACACACACACCACACCACCCCAACTGAGCTCAAGGCTCTCTGATTGTGCCAATTCATTAGATACACATAAGAGTTTGAACTTGAATAAAGGCTCTTTGTTTTTACCTACAGGACTTGGTCTTCGTGTTGATTTTTTGGGGTACTCAGCGATTTAGGCATAAGATCCATGTCTGCCACAAAATTGCAATGTTCAGGGGAGCCATGCATGCCTAGAGACAGGCTTGCCTCTTTCCAAAGTTTCCTTCTCACAAGAGCAAGGCCAGCAGAATGGGCTTTAACACAATGTCTAGGCTGCCTCTGCAGCTACTTCACAGTGGCAAAGTGATTACTTTCCAGTCCCCCCTCCCCACAGGAAATGGCCCATGCTGCTCACAGAACTGAGGACATTCACTGCCACGATTTGTTGACAGGGGCTGCTGAAAACCATGTTACTCTTCAATGTTCCCACTAAAACACAAAACCTTTAAAAAATAAAGTCTAGGTTTTGTTTTCATTGACGTTCAGAAGGGCTTGGGGGCAAGCTAAAGAAATACTGCAGACCACCTGTTACGTAACCAGGGCTTGCCTGTGTCCCAGGAAGAGAGTTGATAAACTTTCCTAGAATTTAAGTTTCCTTAAGTTACCAGTAAGTAGCTTTGCCACTGTGTTTGTTGCAAACAAAAGAACCCTTAATTATTGGTTCATCCTTCCTGTGCTCCATTGCTACAGATGTGGTTACTCACACCAGCAGAACAGAAAAGCAAAGAAGGGAAGCTCTGGGTGGAGATGATACACAACTTTTGGGCACCAGGAGCTTCTGGCTCTGGCCACTAGGAGGCAGTGGGAGCTCCCTCAAGTGGCCAGCAGAGACAACAGGGCCAAGGAGCCCGTTCTGCACGTGAA